GTCCGTCTGTCTGTCCGTCTGTCTGTCCGTCTGTCTGTCCGTCTGTCTGTCCGTCTGTCTGTCCGTTTACTTAGGAAAACGGTTTCGCAAGCAAAAAAACACAAAAGTTTGTGCAAAAATTGTAATGTATAAGTTCGATGGACATACAATTTTCTACGAATTTGCTTTACAAATTATTTTTCTCCAGCAAATAGTAAGAGAGCTACGTGGTTTTGAATTTTCACAAAATTTTCCTTCTTATTGTTTTTCCAAATAACTAATGGTCTAATATAGTAATTTTGTGTTCTTAAGGTCAATAAAAATAAAAAAGCTAATAATACTTATATTTTTAATTCTTAATACTTCTGCCAACTAACACGATTAAATCATTTCAATAGAATTTAATGATGTTCGTTTTTTCTTCTTGTTCTTCTTCTTATCACATTATTACTGTTGTCAATTGTATTACTTAAGGGATGCTCGGATACAACATGTTTGTCTCTGCTTCAAGACCGACAACCTGTATTTAGTGGTTATAGCACAATGAAGTGTTTCATCATTTTTTAAATATGTTTTCTTAACAAAAGTTATAAAGATCATTATTTACAAGAGATTTTGAAAGCATAAATATCGGCATCGTCATATCCGTATATCGCTCCTATAAGCTTTTCTCTGTCACTTCTATATCGCTCGTTTTTCTCCCGACCCTTTTGAAACTGAGATTCGCAATCAATAACGTTACCAATAAATAACGTTTAGGCATAATGTCGGGTGTGTGTTCTATATGTGAGGGTAGTTTGTATTGATTGAAGTGAAAGTGGAGGTGGTGTGAGTGAAGAAGAAATGTGTCAAGTCAAGTCAAAAATTGTGCCTGTGGGAGGATTCCGAAGGAATTCAACATTGCAAAACCTTCAATATTAATTTTAGAGTTTGTCCCTGTGAAATCTGTTCTCTAAAAGTAAATTTTAACATAATAAAAATTAAAATTTCGTTGAAAATTGCAAATGGCAATATTGAACTTTTTAAAGCGTTTCTTTACGTTCAATCTATTTGTTGGGATCGTTGTGTAGGAGCTCGAATTCCTGCGCGGAGAAAAAAAATGCTGGTTGGAAATACATTCAGGTTCAAAGACTATTATGATATTGCGTTGTTTTATAAATAATGCAAAAAATAGTACTGTTTAGCACCATTAGCTACCTTGCGTGGAGAAATATGGTGTATTTCTGATTTTTATTAAAACCTATGGACTTTGGAAAACTAACACTTAATTATTTAAAAATCTACTGCGTACGTT